ATGCAAAACTGTAGAGACAAAAGATGCCAGGGATTCGGAGGAGGAAATTCTCAACTACAAAAAAGCACAGAGAAATTTTGAGACTTGTATTTGTTCCATGTCTTGATTTTGGTAGTGATTACAAGACTTTCTGCATTTCTTGAAGCATTATATACTAAAACAGGTGAATTTTACTTAATGTAAATTATACTTCAAAAATTTTTGAAAACAAAAAGACAAAAAGGGACTAGAAGGAAGTGACAAATATTGAAGAGATAAAATATTGTTGTCTTGGAAAAGAATCCAAGATATAGATTACAGGAGTCCCTGAAATAAAAATCAAAGCAAGGGCACAGAACAAATACTAAAAACTATTTTTCAAAAAAACTCCCTTAAAGTAAAGATTTGAAATTGCATAGTAAAAGAGCACACATACATATACCTGACAATTTGGTCTCAGAACTACTATCACTAAAGTAGACTACAGAAAAACTCATGGGCTCTAAAAGAAAAAAATTCTTTGGACATTTTTAAAAACAGCATTTGTCTTATAAGATAAAGAACGTTAGATTATCATCAAACTTTGGCAGCATTGCTTTATGCCAGAAGAAAATAGAAAATATATTTGGAAATCTCAGTGACAGAATATGTGTATCAAGGACTTTATGTCTAGCAAAACTGGCTTTCAAATATAAAGAACGTAAAACAAATCATTAGCAACACTGAACAATTCAAAACGTTCTCTTAAACACTTGCTGATGAATTTATTAGATAAAGGATTCTAACAATCAATATGTCTAGAGAAATATCACCATAAGCACATATGGCAAGCATTTTAATTATAATTACATTTAGAACTAAAAATAAATGAGAGTTTTTAAAAAGGGAAAGAATATAGTATATAATTGTTGTATGCTCAGACCTTGTAGCTATAGTTCAACTACTAAAGTATGAGCAAGAAATGAGGATAGCATATGAAAAACCACATAATTGTGTTTTATAATCATACTGAGAGTGGTATATTGGTATTGCTATTCTGAAACTGTTACATGTGTAATGCAGAATAAAGAAAATAAGAAATTATAAAATATTTATATCCTCTTCTATGTTTTTAAGGAAGTTTAAGTAAAAACCTTGTAGTACTGAGATTGAATTAAAACTATCAGCATAAACTTGTGAAGCATATTCTCTGAAGATACGTATATTTAAATGTATATTTTTGTGAGGATATGTGTTTCTAAGCTCTTTCTATATATTTAATTTTATTAAAATTCTACGAACAATTACCATCCCAAAATAGGTAAGTATTCTAACATTCAGATTTTAATCTTATTTTCGACTAAAATAAACCTGAGTTTGATTTCTTGGAGAAAGCCTGATCCTAGAACTGAGACAGGAAATGCATAAAATAATCCTGAAGTACTTTGTCAAACCAGATAGAAAGTTAAGTGATCAAAAATGACTTAGGTCACATTAAAAACACTCATGAACCAATTGGAAGAGGGTTCCACTGGCCAAAGATGTGACAGTTTGAGCTTCAACAATATAATAATGCCAATGGATTAAAATACATCTATGAGTTGATAATGATAGGGAAAAGGCACCAATGGGTTTCCAGAAGTTGACTGTAATCGATATCTTGAAAAGTGATAAATTAAGGGTAATAATTTTGCATCTATATTGCCTTCCTTTTATGAATTGTACCATTGGGTAATTACATAGTAGATGGGGAAAAGCACCTCTTCACAAAATTATCCTAGCTGACAAATGAAAATAAAATGCTAGAAGTACACTATCATCATTCTGCAACCTTTAACAAATTGAGTAATCAAGACATTAAGCATCAATAATTGCTAACATAACAATAAAAGAGAGAGACAGGAATTCAGAGAAACAAGCCATTCTGTGCCTTCTGACAAAAAAAGAAAAGCCCACCAATATGTTTGCTAAAGGAATAAAACCTTAGCCCATCAAGCCTCTGGATCCAACTGTCACTTGGCAGGAAATCAGAGGGCAGAGTAACGTGTTGAACTGGATAGCACTTAAGTATGAAATTGCCAAGATCCAGACTAGAGAATCAGTAGCTCAAATGATCTAGGTTCCTCAACAAATGAATTCCAAAGAAAAAATTAAAAAGAGCCTCTATATTAATTAAATTAAAAAATTTAAAAGAGCCTCTATATTAATCTGTAAGACTCTAGCTTAGGATGCACACTTAAGTGATAAACCTATCAGGAAATGCAAGAAAGTAATTAGTACAAAATCAAGATAGTGGTTACTATTGGCAAAATTCAGATTGGGATAGGGCACATGGATGGATTCTAGGATGGCAGGCAAAATTCCATTTCTTAACTCAGGTCATGGCCACAAGAGTGTTCACATTATATTAATTATTAAGTTACATATGTGTTGCATGTGTGTGATTCTATGTATATGTTTTATTTTAAAACTAAAAGGTATAATTCATACAGAAACCTGAGCAAATAAGTTCCAAAGGTTTTCTAGAGAACATAAACATGTAATAGCAGAGATCAGTTCAGAAGAGAACAATATGGAATCACATTCTCAGTAAGTTATAAAGTTTTGGTAACTAAAATGACATGATACTAGAAATTAGTAAAGTGATCAATAAAACAAAAAAGAGAATGTGCATTTTTTATATTCATACACACACACCTCCTTATATGAGAAAAAATTCAATATTTAATTCATATAATAAGTAAACTCACATTTAAAATTGATTTAAGATCTAAAATAGAAAAAGATAGCTATAAAGAAGTGAAATAAAAACTAGCTTAGACTGGAGGATTAGAAGAAAGGGAATACTTAAGAAAGCCAAAAGACCCAGAGAACACGAAAGAAAACATCAACATATTTGAATAATTTTTTTAAAGTCTTATGGAAGACAAAATATTCATAGGTGATTTTTAAAAGTATAAACTAAGATAGCATATTTATAGTTTATATGACTGGCAGAGGACTATTAGCCTTTACATACAAAGAAGATACATGTCAATACAATATATCAGAAGAAAAAAACAATAATAGAAAAGGTAGTCAAGGTAATGCAGACACATTCACAAATATATATGTGTATATACATATGCACAGATGTATACACATATTACACACACATATCCATATATAAAAATGATGCTGAACTACACTAGTTGTCATATAAATGCAAATTAAACACCATTCACAATTTTTAACCTATTGAGTTTGTAAGAAATATTTTAATGATTAACCAATATTTGAGAGTATATGAAAATACAGGTACTGTCATGCAACGTTCTCTCCTTATGGAAATCTTTGTTGACAAATACAGCTATTTTTGAAGCTACATAAATTATTCTTTAACACTTTTCATCATTTTGTGGTGAATTCCAGGTGAACTGCTTTGTTCAACCTTAATCACTAATTAAAAATATTCATCTTTTTTTTTTTTTTTGAGATAGGGTTTCACTCTTTTTCAGGCTGGAGTGCAGTGGTATGATCACAGCTCACTGCAGCCTTGACCTCCTGGGCTCACGTGATCCTCTCGCTTCAGCTTCCCAACTAGCTGGGATGACAGGCATGGCCCACCGCGCCTGGTTAATTTTCGTACTTTTTGTAAAGACAAGGTTTCACCATACTTCCTGGGCTGGTCTTGAACACCTAGGCTCAAGCGATCTTCCCACCTCAGCCTCCCAAAGTGCTAGGATAACAGGTATGAGCCACCGCACCTAGCCCCTATTGAGCTTATTTTCATGAAATCTTGTTATTTTTAACAACCTTTTATTGTTTAATTGTCACAACTTATTTTATCCCTTTAAGAATATTATTTTTACTTCCTTAACATCCTATTTTTCTTTAATTTGTTTTTTCTGGTGTTATTCATTAATTTTCACAGATTTGGTTATCACTAAATGTGTGGAAGTATTTGGTTGCCTGTTGATCTAATTTTGCTTTTAAACATCTTATTATTCAGATGTCTGTGGTGCTTTGAAAAAAAAAAAAAAAAAACACAACTATCTCCAGTGATTGGGGCAGTGAGGTGGAGGCAAGGACTGCTTGCTGCTGAGTGTAGTGTCCAAGACCTATCTTTTGGATGTGGGTATATTCTCTCATCCAGGCACTGTAATTTCTGCCTATGCCACACCCACTACAAAATTTGTGTTCAGCAGTGGATGAAGGCATCTGCTTCTGGTCAGGAGCAGGATCAAGGACATGTGCTGAATGGGAACATGGGCCGAAAGTGGACAATAGCACCTGAATGACTGGTGTCACTCTGTATAAAGAGAAAATGCTGTGGCCCGAAAAATGAGCTCTTAACCCCTCAGCATCAAACTCTACTGACCTATGGAGACCCCAGAGACCCTGCTGCTTCACATCTACATACTAGGAGCATGGAGCCATCCCTAAAACCATTTTTAGCTATCTCAAGTGCCTTTTGATATATAATTTCCTATGGATATGACAGTATCAGAAATTCCTCCAATTTCCTGTCCTTCTTATAGTCTCACTTCTTGTATTCCAGAGCTATTGTGTATTTATTCCTTTTTAAACTATATTTTCTTTAGTCTAAACCTAGAAAGAGGAGACAAAGCATATGCATCTATGCATGCTTACTTGTTTTCAATCCTTTTTAATTGTCATGATTAATTTGTGTGTCACAAAAGACATACACTATTTTAGTGTCAAGTAAAAGAATTTAACAATATATAAATTTCTTCTTTACCCCTTTCTCTTCCTAGCCCCCTGAGAGAAGCCTGGTGGCCATGGAAGTATGCCACACAGATTTTACTTCTAGAGAACCTGCTTAGATAGCATAATTGGCTGACAGCTTCCAGCTGCTGCCCTTCAGGTCCCCCACAGGAGGCCAAAGTCATGGCATGCTTTCCTCACGCTGATGCCAGCCAACAACTGACCCTCCAGTGAGAAGGTACTAGGTCCTGGCCATTTCTCTCTCATAGAGGACTCTTCTTCTTCTTTTTCTTTTTTTTTTTTTTTTTAGACAGAGTCTTGCTCTGCCGCCAGGCACCAGGCTGGAGTGCAGTGGTGCAATCTCGGCTCATAGCAACTGGAGGACTCTTCTAATAGGCAATCTTTGCTCTAAGACTTCCCATCAGCCTGGACAGAACTCCCTCAGAACTTTAGTCTACAGCTTTTCCTCTCTCATCCTCCTTACTCCTTTCTATTTTTTACAGGTGTCACAGCTGCATTATGGTCTAAGGTTTCTCCCTACCTCTCATACTTTCTCCCCCTCCTTTATCTCCCCTAAATTGTTCAGGGGTTTCTTCCCCAATAAATCTCTTGCACATATAATACTGTCTTGAGGTCTGCCTCTTGGAGGACCTGAACTGAAATAGGTGGTACCACAGTCAGAAAGAACGAGTTTGGAGAATGGCTCATTTACCTCCCTGCTGGCTAAGAAGACTCCATCCTCAGTAGAATATGGCACATGGATAGCCGCTTCCACAAGATGGAGGCCAAATTTTTGAAGATTTTGCTGCTGATTATCTGGGAAAATGTCTCAGCAGAGGGCGAAGCCCTTTGCAACACAACACTTAATACATTTGAAAGATATGAGGGGAGGAAGTGATGAGAGGTGCCAATACCTGCAAGAACAGCAAAGCTGGCTGGTAATTACTAAGCTGTAATGGTACCATGCAAAAGGATAATGATATGAGGGTGGTAACAAAAGTTAAGGAACCTCAGATATCTAGTGAGTTCATAAATGCATTGTTTTTCTATACTAAACATGTAAGAAGATCAGAAGCAGTATGGCATTCATGTGGGACAAACAATGATATTCATTTATAGTCTTGCCCCAGAGCTACATTAACGCTATCACCCTTTGTCATCATATAAATAGACCTTGAAACCTTTTACCCATATTTCATCAATTTTTCAAGCACAAATGTTTCTCAGATTGCTGCATTCTGTTCCTCAATGTACAGAGTGTGGAAAGGGTTGATTTTATAAGTTCATGCAGCTTTGTAGTTGTTTGTTTTTTTCAAGGAGAGGATTTGACAATCTCTGTTAGCCATAGCACTCTCCCCTTATCCATAGTTTCACTTTCCATGTGAAAGTTACTCATGGTTTCAGTTACTCACGGTCAACAGCAGTTTGGGAATCAGAAATAGAAAATTCTAGAACTAAACAATTCACAAGTTTAAATTGCATCACAAAATCCCTCACTATCCTGCTTAGTCTCACCCAGGATGTGAATCATCCCTTTGTCCAGCAGGTCTGTATTGTCTATGCTACCTTCCCATTAGTCATTTTGCAGCTTTCTCGGTTATTAGATTACACAGTACCACAGTGCTTGTATTCAAGTAACCCTTATTTTGCTTAATAATGGCCCCAAAGCACGAGGGAAGTCATCCTGGAATATTGTTATAATTCTTTTATTTTATTATTAGTTAGTGTTCCTAAATTCTTCCCACACCTAACATATAAGTTAAACTTTATCAGAGGTATGTGTACCTATATATGTGTGCATGTATGTGTGTGTGTGTACACACACATACACATGAAAAAACATGGTATATATAGGGTTCAGTACTATCCACAGGTATCAACTGGGGCCCTGGAACTTATCCTTTGTGGATAAGGGGGAACTAATATAATTAATAACACTCACCAAAAGCACCCACCATAGAAGAGGAGCTAAACAATTAAGTAGAGAAAACAACTCAGTCAGTTTATATTAACTAGGATTCATCATTGACCATCCTAGAAACAGTATTGTGTACACATGAAGGGAGTGGTCACTGCTTTTGAATATGCAATCTGCCAGCAACAAAAGCAAATGCTGACTTTTACGATATGGCACTAGTCTTTGAGGAAACCAACTAGACAGTCTTGGCTAGCTGGACATAATGGATCTCTTCATCCTGAAAGCACCAATAGTTAATCCTCATAGGGATAAATATATATACCAGATAAAGTTTTCATAACTTTACAGAGCAGAGGCCAGCCAATCCTTCTCACAGTGCTTCAGCCAGTACCACTATTTGAAGATTTATAGATTGTTCATTCTGCAGGCATGCAATTCCACACAATATAGAACCTGACAAACATACAAGTTTCCAAGAGAAAGAAGTATACCATCCAGAGGCATCAGGCCTCACAGAACACTGGGACATCCTACTGAAAATAAAGCCGAAGCACTACCTTAAAAGCAATAGCCTACAAGAAAATGATGCATTCTTCAGGACACACTGTATGCATTAAATCAGTGACCCTGTATGGTATTCCCATATGAAGAATACATGGGATTGGGAATCAATGGTGGAAACAGGAGTGACTCCACTTTGTCTCACTTCCAATTATCTGCTGGAGGGCCACATTAAATATTCTCTTAATATTGCTAATTAAGATTTTCACAGCATTTATTTTTCTGAAAAAAAAATAAAAACAATTGCAAAGTACTTATTATAAAGATATTCTGCTTCCCCTAACAAATATTACTAATTGATACAATCATGTATACCTTCCAAGCTGGCTATACAACAAACAACCTACTACAGACAGGAAATCAATATAACATGATTTCTTTTTGGAATTCATTCAGGAAGCATAAGCCACCAGCAGAAAGAAAAGATCATGTGCTCATCTATAACTAACTGGCTTTTGAGTGTGGGCCCTGCAGACACTGTTTTAGAGGCAGGTTCCAATTCAGTCATAATCAATTTATCCAGTATATTAGTCATTCCGGAAGTAACAGTAGCAAAATAACATTAACTTGGATGAATTAAATATTGTTTGTCATTTTAAGACACCAAACATCAAATAATATAATTTAAATGAAACTGATTTAATATCTACCAATAAGATGGCCTCCTATTTTTATGATTATCTTAAAAACAGTACCTCTTCCCTTTGCAGCTTTTATTGGAGCTTCATGACAGCCCTGGGAGCTTTGTAGAACAAACATTATTACTCTCATTTTAAAGATCAAGAAACTGAATCCAAGAAAATTTGTCTGACTGGTAGTAGGGAAAGAAACCAGCACTTGAATACATGTCTTTGAACGCATTTCTTTCCAAAGAAATGAGAAATTTAAAACCAAATATTTGGAATCAGGAGATTTCTCGTCTGACTCTGTAATTACTAGCCATGGCAACAACCACTGAATTATCTACGCTACACTTCAACATCTTAATTGCCATTAGTCAGAAAAGGATAAGAAAACAGCCATGCATCGAATGAAGCCTATTATCCAATTATCTGTATGTTGAAAATATACCAAGGGCTGTTCTTTAAAGTGTTTATTCATGGTGTTTCTCTGAAACAGGGTGTTTCTATTTTCCTTCTCTTAACAAGATGACTCTGGGTCTCCTGAGAATTTACCGTTGTGTGATTGATCCTTCCCCCACCACCCAACAGGACAGCTAAAGCTAGGTCAGACAACTGGTGCTGTGTTGTGAAGCTGCTAAAAGAACAAAGCTCTGTTTTTCTACCTCTATTATCTTTTCTCTCTCAAAATATCCATAGCCAATGGCAGAACTGCCCCGCCAACCCTATTCCACCCCCACTCCCACCTCCAATATCCAAGTCCTCAAATTTTTGGAATTGTATAAAGATTAATCCTGATGAGTTAGGCTCAGTCACAAAGTTCCTTTTTTACTGTTTCTCCTCTCTTCTTTACTCTGGCTAATAAGGCTCCTCCACATTCTGTCATTCTTTAAGGAACATTAACTCTGATCAGTTTAACACACATTCCTAGAGCTCCTTCCATGCTGCGAATACTGAGGTACTAAGAATAGAAAGATATGTACAGCGTAGTCTCTATCCTTAAGGAGATTACAGTTTATTAGAGAAAAGAGATAATTAAAGGAAACATATCACTATAATTCAATACATACAGTGGTTAAAGATAAGCTTAAGGTGTTATAGAACCAGAGGAGGAACAACTAACCACTTGGTGGGTGGGAGTTACGTTAATAAAAGACTACGAGAAGAAATCAAATCTGATCTTGTAGCATGAGTACAAATTAGCAGGTGAGCAAGAGTGTTACAGGTGAAAAATTAATATGAGTAATTGGATAGAAGCATGAAGCCACAGGTTTTGTCCAGGTTACAAACAGTTGGGTATTTCCGGCATTTCCAATGAGCTTCAGGTTTGGACATGTGCATTCGTGGTGTCTGTGGGACAATTAAGCGGAAATGTTTATCAAGAAGCTTAGAAGGAAAGTCAAGATTAAGTATTCGGCAGTCATCAATAGCATAATAAGATGAAGAAAAATCAAATAAGGTGAGGAAGAAGC